TAATCCACATCTCACATTAATTTATTTTCTTATTGAGGTTCTTCCAAGGTAGCATGTGACCTTAATTCACAGGATGTAGCCCTCAAGAGTGTGAGGGCGGCCTCGGGGCGCTAAGCGCATAGCAATGGTTGTGTGCCTCGGGGCGCAGTGGTCCCCGTCGCGTCCACGTCGTGTCCCACCACCTGGACACGCCCGCAAGGCTTCTCTTGGGTTTTTACACACTTGGGTACAGCATCACAAGGGTAGCCAACTTCTCACTCATAGCATGTTGTTGTTGTTTTAGATTCAGCTAAGAACAAAAAGTTTACAAGTATCACGGGGTATGGTGAGCCCGTGGTGGACTTACCTGGCACAGGAGCGGGGCTGTGTAGCAAGATGATTGATGAAGATTAAGCCACTCAAGAGGTAGTACGGTCATGAATATCTTGTAAGTGGTAGATTTTTTCTTTAGTAAATATATAGTGTGTGTGGTGAGGTCGCATTTAGTCATCAGACTGCTATCGCGGGGGAGGATAGTGCTTGACAGTGTTTATGAGTGTCCAGCTGCTGGACGCCTTTTTTGGACCAGGAGAGTGGCTGTGTTGATGGCTTCAGGCTGGTTACTGCAAGATTCAGGGACTCTTAAAGCTCTTCTAACGTCCTTGGTTGCTTCACATTCCAGGAGGAAGCAAGCTTAGAGCTTTCCCTTCTTATAGCTTATAGGAAGCCGCACCCTACTACATTTTCACGGAACATGATCCACCAATCGGCTGACAAGCAGACACTCATTAGTCCTGAGTAAACAGAGACGAACAGCTAAGGGTTGGTGCCCAGTTAATCCTCCCGTGGGTACTGAGGGGCGAGTATGTGTGTGTATATGTAACTACTAGGCCACGCCAGCTCTCTAAATTTAGGGCATATATTTACTACCACATGAACTGGGAAATGAGGTGCAAGGAAACCCAAGCCAAACATCTCGTGCCTTCACGGGAATGGAACCCGGGCCCAGCGGGGTGTGAGCGGTCCAAGACAGACAGGTGGAGGAGCGGCGAGGCTTGGCGGAATCTCACGCATCCATTTAATATAATGACGGGACAGGTTTTTCGTTAATTAGCTTTGGTTATCACTGTACAAGATACATCCCCATCAAGCCATTATCTCACGACAACCTTCCTTCTCGGCAGCAATTTGCATCTAATGAGATGCACCGGAGAACCAAAACATATTTACTATTTACTGGCGGCGAAGCTTAGCAATTTACGGTAGTAACTGTGTGAGTGACAGTGGACCAGTGAGGGCACTACCTTTGTCTTGGCCACTAGGGGGGGGGGATGATGTGGAGTGCGGGTATGAGAGCAGAGAAGGGATGAGCAGTGAAGGAGAAATGGGAGATGGAACGGACGGGAGTCAGATGGAAATGTTTGGTGAGAGGAATAATGGAGTGGAGGGGGGGGGGGCTAATGTGAACACTTTTGTAACTTTTCTTCCCTCATTTCCTACATTCCATAATCTATCTTCTTCCCACATCTTGTCATTTACACTAATTACACAATCATAATCCCTTCTGCCACCTTCCTCCCAGCACCTACCCCCCCCCCCCACCCCAACCCCCCGCTGTGACGGATAGTGCTCACCAACAGCGCCAATCACCCCTACCATTCCAGAGGTAATGAGCAGGCGTAACTCAGTCAGGTAGTACTCAGGTACTCATAAACATGGCACCTCAGCCCCCCCGCACCGAACCAATTAACCTCCCGAGTATGGTTTACTACGCATCATTACTTCTACAGTCGTGTAAGTACTCTTCTAATTATAAGTGTACTTTTTTGCCCTCTCGGTCGGTCTCTGTCTGTGTCTCCCTCTCTCCTTTAACGAGGAACCGAAACGCATTGAACCGAATTTGAATTTGAACCGAATTTGCCCGAAACGCATTGCGTAATAGTGGCTTTAGGCATTGTATGTACTAGCTCTATCTATATATCAATCCATTAATGTAACATCACTTGTATGTATATACCTTACCTGAATAAACATCTGAATCTGACATCTGGAAGTGGCGAAACACGCGTCAGAACAGCCCGTAGCTCTGTTCTAAACCTGGAGCTGATTGGCCAAGTTTACAACAGCAGCACCAGTAGCACCTGGAACAGCAGCAGCACCAGTAGCATTAGGAAACAGCTGCACCAATACTATCAGGAAACAGCAGCAGCACCACCGATAGCATTAGGAACAGCAGCACCACAACCGATAGCATTAGGAAACAGCAGCAGCAGCAGCACCAACAGCATCAGGAACAGCAGCATCAGGAAACAGCGGGGCCTCTAACATTATAATCCCTTCCAGCGTAGCAAACCTCAAAAGGGGCACCATATGCGACCTCCTCCCTGAGGTACCGTTGTTCTCCTTGATGCGTTCACCATCATTCTTCACACACCGTCTCCTTCATCCGCTCCCCCCCACCCACCCGCCACAACAGCACCCAGCCTCCACCCCCACCCCCCACAACAGCCTCCACCCCCACCCACCACAACAGCAGCACCCACCATGGGCTGTAGTACACCAGGAGCCGGACCGTGCAGGTCGTGGTCCCTGGCCGGCTGGGCAGCTGGTCCAACCTACCTCCGTTACCCCTCGAGGTTCAAGTTTGCTTGAAAGAAAACATACATTCTAGTAGCTGCCTAATTCGTCAACACTAACTACAGTAGTTTACTAATTAGCGTTCACAGTGTGGTGGTTGCGTTATTAGGAAAGAATCGATCGCTCTAAGCTTCGAATTAAAGTGGTAGTTCGGTGCTTAACAAATGTAATCAGTTTGTTAAGTCGTCTGAGTAGATTAGTGCGAGGTGTGGTGACCTTATAGTGAGATGATGTGCTGTGTACACTGCCCTTGTACTGTGGTGTTTGAATCTATCTCTCAGAACAAAACAGAAAGACATGCTCTCTCCACCTCCTTTTCAGAGGCGAGAGACTAGTGGATAGATGAGTAAAGGTGAACATGATGAGTGAAGTGTGTGAGGAGCAGCAGCGTGAGGCTGAGGCCAGGAGAGGTGGTGACCTGGTCCACTACGTCACTCACCACACCACCAAATGTTCCGCTCTTCACACCACCACCACCACCACCACACCCACCAAGGTCAGTACAACTAGGTGACACCTTCCCTCTCCTGGTGCTGTCTACACACATCGTACACCCACCTAATGTACCTTACACACCACCTCCACCCGCCTAGTGTAACTGACACACACACATCCACCCACTTAGTTCAGTGTACACACCACCTCCACCCCGCCTAGTGTAGCTGACACACACACACATCCACCCACTTAGTTCAGTGTACACACCACCTCCACCCGCCTAGTGTAACTGACACACACACATCCACCCACTTAGTTCAGTGTACACACCACCTCCACCCAGTGTAAACACCACCAGCACAACCCTTGTTTAGTGTTTGCTTTGCCGATACATACCTAGTGTTGTGTACACTGCATGTAGACTCTCTTAGAACAGATTATACTCCACCTATACTGATCTAGTGTAGTGTATACTTCACATATACTGATCTAGTGTAGTGTATACTTCACATATACTGATCTAATGTAGTATGTATACTGCATGTATACTGATCTAGTGTAGTGTATACTTCACATATACTGATCTAGTATAGTGTATACTTCACATATACTGATCTAATGTAGTGTATACCACCTATACTAATCTAGTGTAGTGTATACTGCATCTACACCCACCTATTGTAGTATATACACGTCTAACCTACGCTTGAAACACACTAGCGATCCAACCAAATGGTATCGTGTTGTTCAATAAATCAACAATCATATTTCCAAAGCCAGTATTTACCCAGGTCTTTCCAGAATCTAAGCATATCCAGTTCATATTCACAGTTTTGTATTTTATTGTGTTGATACATTTATGTTCCCTTTGTTATACCCTTTCATCTATGAATATACCTCAGTGATATTACCCATGTATATACTCCAATATGATCCCTTACATTATATCCTCCTAGGACAGGAAAAATTACTGGTTATATAATCTCACAGAGATCACACTAACGTGATGCATCAAATTTCCCTGTCGTAGCTCAGTCGATTAAGGCAGTGTCTGGGATGCTCCCGGACGCAGGTTCGAATCCTCGTCACGGCCCTTGTGGATTTGTTCACTAGTTATATAATCTCATACTAAGGGCGGGTTTGTAACTGCTGGGGTTGGTCACATGCTTCACATGGTCGCATGGTCACATGGTCACATGGTCACATGCTTCACATGGTCGCATGGTCACATGGTCACATGGTCGCATGGTCACATGGTCGCATGGTCGCATGGTCACATGGTCGCATGGTCACATGGTCACATGCTTCACATGGTCACATGGTCACATGGTCACATGCTCACATGGTCACATGGTCACATGGTCGCATGGTCACATGGTCACATGCTTCACATGGTCACATGGTCACATGCTTCACATTCTTGTAAACATCAGTTTCCCCTACAGCACGGACACCACCACTCCGTACTCCCTAACACAATAATAATAATAATATATCATTTATCACGTATATACTAATAAAATCATACTTCAGATGTATTACTAGTATGATTACATTATATGTCGGTGTATTTCAAATATGACATACTCAACCGGCAATTGGTTAATATAAGGTCCTATTTAACGGTTCCTGGGAAATATAATGTCATTATTTAGCTATTTTAATGTCATATTCAACGGTTCATGATAAATATAATGTTATATTCTTTAGCTATTTTAATGTCAACTAGTATGCAGGCCCATGACTCGTATAATGACACACACAGTAGGCAGACCCATGACTGTATAATGAGACGTACACTATAAGCAGGTCCATGGCTGTATAATGACACACACAGTAGGCAGACCCATGACTGTATAATGAGACGCACACTATAAGCAGGTCCATGACTATAATGACTCGCCAGAGTAGGCAGTATAATGAGACCAAACACTATGGGCAGGTGTGTGGCGTGTGTGGGGAGGCAGCCAAGAGCACCCACTTTGGGGGCGTGAGTTGCGCCTCTTGCAAGTCTTTCTTCAGGAGGAGCGTCCAAGGTCACCTCTACACTACCTACCTCTGCATCAGGGACCACACATGTCCTCTACTCCAGAACCGCAGGTGCTGCCAGGCCTGCAGGTGGGTGGTGCATCTGTGTGTGTGTGTGTGTGTGTGTGTGTGTGTGTGTGTGTGTGTGTGTGTGTGTGTGTGTGTGTGTGTGTGTGTGTGTGTGTGTGTGTGTGTGTCAATAGCTACAAAGTCAGGACCAAGATTCATGTTAGGTATGAGCTGAGTTATCAAGACGGCGTCTGTCTGTGGAGAGTCGAGGCAGGAAAGATTCTTTACGAAAACCAATCAATAAGATGATTACAGTCGTGACAGAAGAAAGCATTGTTTGCGTTTGCATACTTAACACTTTTATGTGTTCTTTAAGTCTGTCATTACGACTAAGGATCGAACGTCGCCAGTCTTATTTCAAAAATATGGTTTGAATGTTATTTCTTAATATTATCCTAATTGAAGGATAATATTACCCTGTATTTCTAAGGATAAAGACAAAATTTCTAAGACAAAATCCTGTATTTCTGTAAGCGTATTATTAAACCGATTTTTCGGATGAGCCTCTATCTTTTATCGCGGTGGTATAAACAGTGTATTGAACAGGGATTGTTTGATTTAGCTACTCAGAAGGAAATACCTATGCAGGACAGGCTATAGTGAGCCCGTAATTGAGTTCAGTTATTCGCGATAATCTTGTTACTATGATATTTGGGTCAAAGTTTAACAATGGAGGTGGGGTTTCCTCCTTTTCTCCCGTTTCTTTTCCGCTTCTGTTTTAGCGCACTGGTTTTAGTCTTGTTTTAATAACAATATCTTGGTGGTAGATATGAAAGTGCTTGTGTCTATGTCTGGCAGAGCGTGTCACATCACCGCCGTCATAAGACATTGTTACTATGCTCCCCGGCATTCATCAAGGAATCCCTCAAGTCATAACGACGTGACGCACTCTGCCAGACATAGACACAAGCCCTTACACTCCCCTTGTTCAATACACTTTACACCACCCTGATAAAGAATAGAGGCTCATCTGAAAATTAGACTTAATAATATACTTACACAAATACTGGGTCTTTTCTTCACCTTCAATCCAACATTACAGTATTGTAACAAACTTCATTATCCTAATTAGTATATATATATGAAAGAGGATTGTCTCACATATTGGACTCGGAATTACTAAGAAACACATATTGTGATTAATATTTAATTTTATATAATAATGTAATTCATCACGTGGCCTTGAACATTTATTGTGTCCTTTTTTTTTAACAAACTATTAAAGTCTCTTAGATGATGAGTTTCCATTTTGTCCGCGAGTCATTTCTTCAATTGTCTTAAGTTTTCCCCTAACTGTTTACACGTGTGTCAGGTACAGGAGGTGTCGTGAGATCGGCATGGACCCGGCGCTGGTGATGAGCGAAGATGACAGGCTCGCTCTCAGGTCTCGTCGTCTCGAAAGGAAGAAGCAGCAACTTCTGCTGCACTTGAGCAACAAACACAACACTTCCCTGGAGGAACTCGGCGGCCAAGTGGATGATCTCGGAGACAATGTGAATGAACTTGAGAGCCAAGCGGAAGAACCCGGGATCCAAGCGGAAGAACCCGGGATCCAAGCGGAAGAACCCGGGATCCAAGCGGAAGAACCCGGGATCCAAGCGGAAGAACCCGGGAGCCAAGCGGAAGAACCCGGGATCCAAGCGGAAGAACCCGGGAGCCAAGCGGAAGAACCCGGGATCCAAGCGGAAGAACCCGGGATCCAAGTGGAGGAACATGAGGGCCAAGCATATACACACTTGATCAAAGAGGAAGAACCTATGGACCAAGATGATAAAGTTGCATACCAAGATAGTCTCTGGAACGAGGATAAACTCCCCAACAGCAGTAAGCTCTTCAAGCAAGGACTCACGGAGAGAAGCCAAAACAGGGTTGAAGTTAAACTTGAGAACCCCGACATAAACACAGACAAGGTCAGATTCCAGGACTTACATAATTTTACAGTGGATGACGACGTTTTAATGGATCAGGAGGATATTCTCGTGAGCTCTGACGCACACTTGAGCACCCAGAGCCACCAGGAGGAAGGGCGTGATCCGTGTTTAGAAACCTTGAGCTGCGAAGACAAGAAGAGTATCGTAGACTTGCAAAAACTCGTGAGGAAGGCCCTTGCCTTCCCAGAATTTCCCAAACACTACTATGACAAAGATGCTGACGTCATGGAACACTTACTATTCATGTTCTGTAAGGGCATGGGCAAGTTCTTCAGCATTGTTCCCGACTTTCGAGAATTGGAGCCCAGAGTCCAAGGCATTCTTCTCAAGGAGGGAGTGGCCAAGGCTGTGTTCATATTCGGTGCTCATCAGTTTGAGGAGCACGGAGGGTGTTGGCCACGGAGGCTCCTGACACCGTCCTGCACCTTCCCCAATGTTACCATGTTCGCCGTCCACAAGTTTCTCAATGACCCACACACATTCACCAGGATTAAAACCTTCATGGGGAAATACTGCTTCTTCTTCACTGACGAGACTGTAACAGTGTTGAGCCTTATGCTGGCGGTGTTTGATCCTGACGACCCGGAGGTGAGGGCGGACGTGGAGGTGGCGGCCACCAGAGACAAGTATCTTCGCCTCTTCCAGAATTATCTCACGCACAGAGATCCAAGCGTGTCGTCGGAAGCAATCGTCTCGGAGCTCTGGTTGTGCTTTGCTGAGGTCCAGCAACTTATTGTCTGCTTCAAGAGCAGTAACACGCCAGGCGCCGGACAAGCAGCCGCCTCCAATACTGCTGGACACAAAGAAACAGCATTTGCAAGCTCCTGTCACGAACTTAGCGGAGACTCCATGTTGCCACCCAAAAAGGCATTCTATAAAAGAAATACTAAAATGACTGAGGAAGGTGAGTCTTCTGATGTTATATTTCTTGAAGAGAAACAATCAAGTCATACAAAACAATACGACCATAATGAGAGGCGTGTTAATTACTCCGAGGCCAGAGGAGAGAGGGGAGTGACACATGATGGTACTGACTTGGGCACAACGACACCCCCGTGGCCAGCTGCCTCAATGCAGGACCATAATTACCCAATATCAAGTCCACAAATACATGGATATCCCCAGAATTGCTTAAATAGTCCCGGGAGGTTAGAGGCAATCAAATTAAATGAATTAGAAATTACACCTTTACCTCAAAACTACAGACCAAGTCAGAACTACAGAGACATAATTCCGGAAACTTCTGTTAATATTTCACCTTCACAGACAATCTTCCCGCTTTCTTCTCATAGGACAACATCTGCCTTTTTGATTCCCATAGTAAGAGAGAACAGCAGCTCACAGATGTTGACACTGGATTCTACACACACCCAGCTTAGAGACCGCCTTCAGAGACCTGAAAACTGGTATAATCCTTCCAAACAAATAAGTGTAGCAAGGAACCTCGTCATTGGCCACGCCGAAGCTGAGTCTGGTGACCATGTAGCAAGCCACTTCGTAAACACTCAAGGATCCCAATCATGCAGGATACCGTCAGCACACTCGGTCACGACACACCAAACTCTCGACACCAGACAACACCTGCCATCTGACATCCCGCAGTTTCATCACCAAATTCATCACAGGCTCAGCCTTCAGAATAATCCAGCGGCCCCCCAGGGAAACCACCTGTGCCACCTGAATCAGAAGTCCTCTTCACTTGGACGTCACCTGGAGCAACCTCGCTGCTCAGGTCAGTCGTGTTGCGATGTTCGTCAGGAGGTCCAAGAGGACCATCATCCTCGTGTAGATGTTCATAGGCACGCTCACAGCTGCTGCCCACCTTCCTATCACAGCCAACTACACTCCGCGCCCCTAAAACACTCTTTAGCTAGAGCCAACTACCATGACGGCAGTTCAATGCCACCTATAACATACTCCCCATTGAGGTCACTCCCCTACGGCGACCGCCCATCTCCGTCTTTCACACACTCCCCAGTTGGGGCCCTCTACCACCCTGACCGTCCCTCGCCATCTCCCTCACACTCCTCAGAGATGACTCCCTGCTATGGCAACAGTCCTTCCTATACGCCGATAAGAGACTTCTACCACAGCAACAGATCTTCCACACATTCATTAGTGGAACACACGAATAGCCGGACTGACCAGCAGGTTTTACAGGCCGTGGAGGGCATCTTGCCGACCAAACTAGTAAAACACCTCACTGCCAGGCTCCGTGCTGTCCCACGACACCTACCCCCATAAACACCTCACTGCCAGGCTCCGTGCTGTCCCACGACACCTACCCCCATAAACACCTCGCTGCCAGGCTCCGTGCTGTCCCACGACACCTACCCCCATAAACACCTCGCTGCCAGGCTCCGTGCTGTCCCACGACACCTACCCCCATAAACACCTCGCTGCCAGGCTCCGTGCTGTCCCACGACACCTACCCCCATAAACACCTCGCTGCCGGGCTCTACACTGCCCAATATCTTAATTCAGTATTATAATGCTACAGTCTATGGACTCAGTGCTGAACATTTCACATCCATAGACTTTATGAAGGAGGGGCATTGAGGCCTTGTCCATGACCATGATACCGCTATGACACTCCCAATAAAATAACCGTAAAGTTTAACAATGCTAGCCCCAAAGTATCATGCTTCCAATCTCACCCAAAATGTCCTTTCTTATAAATATAGACTGTATAAGGTAACCGGTGGTGCTCAGGTCTCACTTTCCTCATCTTCCTGTACTCAAGGAGTGAAAAATAAATTTTTCCTGAAATCTAAAACGTGTACTTCTTAATCCCTGACAAAATGCCAAAAGAACAAGTTGATTTAGGTGACTGCTACCATTTTTGGGCTGGGAAACCGATCTGAATGCACCCGGAATGAGGGTGTTAAAATGGCACCCATCCTAATCACTGTAACTCTCTCCCACATGCACACACACACATGTGAACTCATGCATACATGCGCGTCCACACAAGCATACACCCTCCATGTATCCACGTTCCTTGCTCACACACACACACAAACATCTACGTCTCATTGCTTGGCCCCTACCCCCCCCTCCTCACCCCAGGAGGCCGTCGTTAACTATCTCACAATTTGCCACACCCACAGACCAACCTACACCAATGAATGCCCATCAAAGGGGAGAGAGTGTGAGAATGGACAGAAGAAAGCGAGCTTCAAGGCACTTTACTCCAACATAGATGACATTACAAAACAAATAAACTTGAAGAAAGGTCACAAGAAGAAAACCCAAACATAATAGCACTCACAGAAACAAAATTAATAACAAAGTGCTTCCACAGAAATACTATGTAGTAAGGAAAGAGAGATGGAGGAGGAGGAGGAGTGGCTCTGCTGATAAGAAAAGACTTGAGTTTTGACGAGATAGTTATCCCAAACTTTGAAGGGTTCCGTGAATATATAACAGCACAATGGGAACTGGAGGACAAAAAATAATAGTTCTAGTAATATATAACCCTCCATCAAATGACAGAAGACCCAGACAGGAACATGATAGAAACAACATGACTACCATTAATATCATAGAGAAAAAGCAGCTTCTGCTTACAGGAACAGATCCAGACTGTTAATCATGGAATCCTTCAACCATGGAAAGACAGAATAGGAGAACAGAGCCCTACGTGGAGAACCAGATACCTGGAGAGCTAAATTACTAGATGTGACAAAAAGAAACTTTCTAAGCCAACACTTCAAGGGACCCCCATAAGAACCAGAGGTGATGAATTAGCTAGATTTGATCCGATATTCACCTTGAACGAGTCAGACACAAGAGAAGCAAAGTTGGAAGCCCCGTCACACACCTGACCCTCCCACGGGCCCCTGGGGTACGCCTGAACCCCACAGGCGTTCTCCCAGACACACACACCTGACACTCCTTCACACACAGGAAACGTCAGTCGCCTAATAGCTCGCTCCATCTTGGGTCTGCAGTAAAAGGCATCTAAAGAGAATTGTTACCACCAACCCGCATTAGCCAGTCAGGTTTCCCCAGGAAAAAACATCTTCCGCAGCTCAGGGCTTAATCAGACCCTTGTATTGCTCAGGACCTTTACTCAACACCCTGTGTGGCTCAGGACCTTTACTCAACACCCTGTGTGGCTCAGGACCTTTACTCAACACCCTGTGTGGCTCAGGACCTTTACTCAACACCCTGTGTGGCTCAGGACCTTTACTCAACACCCTGTGTGGCTCAGGACCTTTACTCAACACCCTGTGTGGCTCAGGACCTTTACTCAACACCGTGTGTGGCTCAGGACCTTTACTCAACACCCTGTGTGGCTCAGGACCTTTACTCAACACCCTGTGTGGCTCAGGACCTTTACTCAACACCCTGTGTGGTTCAGTAAAGGTTGCCTAAGGTTCTGTGAAGTGATTCGTGAATACAGGAAGTCTGAAGACTCCTCTTGAAGCTAGTCCAGCGTTTTTACCTAAGACTTACTTTTAACAAGTTCCCGTGGTACAGTGGTAGAGTATGCGGGTAGCAATGCCTTGGTCGCAGGTTCGCGTCGTCTCACAGCTCCAGTGAATTTAAGAACATAAGAAGAACATAAGAACAAAGGTAACTGCAGAAGGCCTATTGGCCCATACGAGGCAGCTCCTATCTATAACCACCCAATCCCACTCATATACTTGTCCAACCCGCGCTTGAAACAATCGAGGGACCCCACCTCCACCACGCTACGTGGTAATTGGTTCCACAAATCAACAACCCTGTTACCGAACCAGTATTTACCCAAGTCTTTCAAAGATTTGCTTATCTTAGAGTAATCTTTCTACCATGGAGTGATCTTACGGTACATCTTACATCTCCATCGACCTCCACCACTGGTGGCGTGTTTGTAGGTCTGACGACTTTTATGTTGAGGACTTCATGGAGCTCTTAGATTATCTGGTCATATGATAGACCATGTTTGGCAGTCATTCTTTCTGCTTTGTTGTGAGTCGAAGGCATGTAAGTAAATAATCGTACGGGTGGTCAACAAGTGGAATGCACAGAGAGATAACGGAAGCCATCTCTATCCACAACATTAAGGTCAGGTTGGACAACAAATTGGAACACCAGGATATTTAACTTATACCACAACAGGTACAACAAGGCTGGTAGGCAGGGGCATAAATAGCTAGACCTTATTCCCTCATAGACACTGTTAGGTAACTACTGGTAGGTAAGTACTCTACACTCTACCTCCTCCTTCCCCCCCCCCTCGCCCAACCAGTTGGGCTGGACGGTAGAGCGACGGTCTCGCTTCATGCAGGTCGGCGTTCAGTCCCCTCGACCGTCCACAAGTGGTTGGGCACCATTCCTTCCCTCCCGTCCCATCCCAGATCCTTATCCTGACCCCTTCCCAGTGCTATATAGTCGTAATGGCTTGGCGCTTACCCCTCGATAATTCCCTCCCCCCCCCTCCTCCTGCCACTAATGTATAGTGTGTCACCTTCTTAATTTAAGCACAAGGCTCGTGGCACCTGGCGGATATTCTCACTCTCATAACAATAACATTACGGTGGAGGGACAAGGTTAGTGTTGATCCTTTGTTAGGGGCCCCGACTGGTCCCCAACCGTGACTAGTGGGGAATGGAAGCTAAGATCCTCTAGTAAATAAAGAGATAAAGTACTCATTTAAACTACCACCCATCTGTGTCACAGGTTACCTTACCTGCCTCAGTCCTCAAGGACCCCATCTTCCCCCTGGTCTTTGACACATCTCAAAAATTAGTCTTTGTTTGGCCTTGCTGTGCGTACTTCACGTTTTCTCTTCACCTTTTATTATTGACTAACATATCTGACTGTTCTGACATTGTTATTCTGGCTTAATTTCCCTTGGTTAATTCTTGCCCCGGGTCGTGTGCCTTTGATGTTAGTGGCGGAGTTACATCCTCTACCAAATCTTTCCGATTCCTGAAGTGGATTTCCCCTTATCATGTAGATATCTCCTAGACTCCTTTCTCTCTTCGCCATCTTCATTTCCATACACCATTTGGTGTTTAACACGAGCAGTCCTTTGTCTGGCCACTCCCGGTGTTTGTCAAGGTCTTCCTGGAACACACAATGCTACTAATCGATTTCTACATTCCTCATTAGTTATGCGTCGTAGGCACATGGGAATGTCTGTGTCCCTGCCTTGTCCAGGCTTGGTGGTGGGGGTACTCACCTAATTCTGCTTGCGGGGGTTGAGCTCTGGCTCTTTGGTCCTGCCTCTCAACTGTTAATCAACTGGTGTACAGGTTCCTGAGCCTACTGGGCCCTATCATATTTACACTTGAAACTGTGTATGGAGTCAGCCTCCACCACATCACTTCCTAATGCATTCCATTTATTAACTACTCTGACACTGAAAAAATTCTTTCTAATGTCTCTGTGGCTCATCTGGGTACTAAGTTTCCACCTGTGTCCCCTTGTTCGTGTCCCACCCGTGCTGAAGAGTTTGTCTTTGTCCACCCTGTCAATTCCCCTGAGAATTTTGTAGGTGGTTATCATGTCTCCCCTTACTCTTCTATTTTCCAGGGATGTGAGGTTCAGCTCCAGTTATTTATCCTTGTTTATCCAGTAATTTATCCATGTTTATCCCTCCCTGTCACCGTGACTGAGGTACGGTATGCGTGTTAGTGGCTCAGTAAGAATGTACCGGTCAATCACCACCGCTTATAATGTGGTGGACATAATTGGCTTTAATAACCTCCTTCTTCAACGCATTGTTCCCTTGGTTTTAATTAAATAGGTTTCCTTCCTTTGGTAGTGGTGGAGGGGGGGGGGTGATGTTAGGGTGTGGGGGGTGGGGGGTGAGGCAGGTGTGTGAAGGTGCAGATTAAGGGCGCAGTTTCCTGCCCGTACCAGCCTGTGAGGGAGGCAGGCTTGGGGGGGGGGGAGGCTTTTGGGGGTCACTTGCACCTGTCAGACCCCCCCTGGCGCGCACACCCCCAGCCCGTCCTCCTAAAGTGTCCCCAGCGGGAGCCGAGCGGACAGCACGCTGGACTTGTGATCCTGTGGTCCTGGGTTCGATCCCAGGCGCCGGCGAGAAACATTGGGCAGTTTCTTTCACCCTATGCGCCTGTTACCTGAGGTTATCTTGAGATGATTTCGGGGCTTTTTTAGTGTCCCCGCGGCCCGGTCCTCGACCAGGCCTCCACCCCCAGGAAGCAGCCCATGACAGCTGACTAACACCCAGGTACCTATTTTACTGCTAGGTAACAGGGGCATAGGGTGAAAGAAACTCTGCCCAATGTTTCTCGCCGGCGCCTGGGTTCGAACCCAGGACCACAGGATCACAAGTCCAGCGTGCTGTCCGCTCGTCCGACCGGCTCCCCCGGTCGGATGAGACACCAAGAACTTCCACATAAACCTGTAGATCTGAGACAAAGTCTACACTTAGTTTTTTCCAGTTTTTGTTTTTGCAAGGATGTTCCTGCGCGGGCCCGAGGCCTATGGATAGCCTACTAAGTCATACTTGTGTACTAGTTCTTCCGTCTCTCAGCATTCTTTATTATTTTTTGCCCCTTTCTTAAATCAACTAGTTTAAAGTTTTAGTCTGTGTTCCCCCCCCCCCCCCCTTGCAGGAAACGTTGTATGTATTAGTGGCTTTAGGTATATTATGTATTAACTATCTAGACATCCAACATTATGTTTTTAGAATGTATGTACTTTTACCTGAATATAATAATTTATTTAGGAACAGTACATACATAGTTGCAGCGTTACAGTACAAACATTCTGTTAGATTTAAAGATGGAGGTAGTACATACAATACCTAAAGCCACTAGTACGCAAGTATAGCGTTTCGGGCAAGTATATTATGTTATACTGTCATACAAGAAGCGGCAGACATGTATGACTCACAAGAGGAAGACACAAGCCACCACCACACTAGAGGACAGGACCACTAGAGGGGACATGATTACCACATACATAAGTGTAGAGGGAACTGACAAATTAGACTAGAAACATTGTTAAGAGAAAGGAAGATAAGAACTATGGGGTAAAGAGATAAACCTGATAAGTCACAGAGATATCAGGAATAATGTGTTAAGAGTCATCAAGTGGGAAGATTACACAGAAAACGATTGAGATTGAGAAAACGACCTTGTGATGATTTCGGGGCTCAACGTCCCTGCGGCCCGGTCCTCGACCAGACCTCCTTCGTCCTGGGAGTTTTGGGTGACCCAAAACTCAAAAGGAGTTGAAACGGAAGTTCTACTGAACTTACTGGATCCTGCAGCCTCTCCGAGACACAAACCAGGATTTTACACAACTCCCCCCATGCACTCTAGCTATGTCAATAGGCCGTTCTCCCTCTTCGCCCTTACTTCATTACACACAGAAATCACAATTTCTACGACAGGGTCAAACTCCTTTTTGACCATGTTGTAGCTCAGTCGATTAAGGCAGCGTCTGGGATGCTCTCGGACGCAGGTTCGAATCCTCGTCACGGCCCCTTGTGGATTTGTTCATTTGATGCATCACGCAATTGATTTCTGTGTGTAATCTAGGTTAGTACATTTAGGTGAGTATAGACAGCGGTTGTGTGACACAGACTCCGAGGTTGTGACACAGCCACCCAGGAGTGACCACTCTCCGTAGCCTCGTCCCATCCCCCCCACACACCCCCTTCCCCTCGGGTGTTATCACTGATAACAGCTATCGTGAGGAACTTCCTGGTATAGTAACTTATAACTCTGCATATCGCAGTCGGGTCCCGCCACCCCTGGCACAGTGCGCTGGTTGTGTTCCGGTGAGACACCCCCTGGCTACCTTCAGTAAGGTGAGACACCCCCTGGCTACCTTCAGTAAGGTAACACACCTAAGGTAAGGTAGCTGGACTTGGTAGCCTGGTGGATAGCGCGCAGGACTCGTAATTCTGTGGCGCGGATTCGATTCCCGCACGAGGCAGAAACAAATGGGCAAAGTTTCTTTCACCCTGAATGCCCCTGTTACCTTGCAGTAAATGGGTATCTGGGAGTTGGTCAGCTGTCACGGGCTGCTTCCTGGGGTGTGTGTGTGGTGTGTAGTAGTTAGTAGTTAGTAAATAGTTGATTGACAGTTGAGAGGCGGGCCGAAAGAGCAAAGCTCAACCCCCGCAAACACAACTAGGTGAATACACCCCTGGCTACCCGAAGGCGGTGGAGGTGTATTCACCTAGTTGTGTTTGCGGGGGTTGAGCTTTGCTCTCCCGCCTCTTAACTGTCAATTAACTACTAACTACTATTCCCCCCCCACTCCTTAGGAAGCAGCCTGTGACAGCTGACTAACTCCCAGGTACCTATTTACTGCTAGGTAACAGGGGGCATTCAGGGTGAAAGAAACTCTGCCCATTGTTTCTCGCCGGCGCCAGGAATCGAACCCTGGCCACAGGACTCGAACCCGTGTGTGTGTTGAGGGGCAGCACGCCCACCACCACCACACATACCCAACAACACGTAATCTGTCTTAGTCATCAATAAAATGCGAGCAATTATCTCGTGTTATCTGAAAATGTGTGTCGAGCTCCGCCCCGGCACCCCGGCTCATCTACCGCAGGGCCACTATCTCTCAAGTGCCCTCCAAGGGGACACGAAGACGGCGGCTTGTCAACTGTACCCCCCCCCCCCATTGCTACAAGAGTATTTTTCCATTAGGATTTTTAACTGAAATGAGCTCTTGGTATTTACAAGGCTTCGACGGGTAGGCGGTTCCGTGGGTTTATAACCCAGTGACTGAGAGTGAGAGTGATAAAAGATATGTTTTTGTGCAACATTGGCAGCCTCTTGAGTGTGATGCTGTTGCCTCTTGTATATATATTGCAGTTGATTTTTGGAAGAAGTGGACACACCACCGCTCCTGTGCCAGGTAAGTTACGGGCTCACCATAGCCCGTGCTACTTGCCCCGCTCCTGTGCCAGGTAAGTCCACTACGGGCTCACCATAGCCCGTGCTACTTGCCCCGCTCCTGTGCCAGGTAAGTTACGGGCTCACCATAGCCCGTGCTACTTGCAACTTGTTCCCAGTAGCTAAATCTATAACAACAACTTTGAAGAAGTGGTCTGGATTAATATCGTCCAACTTCTTCAGTATATGAAAGGTGTCCAGGAGACGCGCCTCGTCATGTCTGGTGTGTAGTGTTGTCAGTCCTGTAGCCCTCAAGTGTTCCTGGTTGTCATAGTTCAGGCTCAGTTGTCAGTCTCAATTATACTTTGTTCAAGGCAGACATGTCCCTCTGAATGCGAGGGGCTAGATTCACAAAGTAGTTACGCAAGCACTTACGAGCCTGTACATCTTTTCTCAATATTTGGTGGCTTTGTTTACAATTATTAAACAGTTAATGAGCTCCGAAGCACCAGGAGGCTGTTTATAACAATAACAACAGTTGATTGGGAAGTGTTCATGCTAGTAAACTGTTTAATAAATGTAACCAAAGCCGTCAAACATTGAGGAAAGATGTACACGTTCGTAAGTACTTGCGTAACTGCTTCGTGAATCTGGCCCCGAGGTCTCCGTGCCTGGACACAGTGGACCAAATGGTGGAGCACCACAGACCTGTACTGCTCGCAGCTCCTCGGTTACGTTAGGTCAATTTAGTACATCAGTTTAGTGACGTTGTGACCGCTTATGTATTGCCTGTGACTCATACGTCAGGCTGCGAGCAGCCGCGTCCAACAGCCTGGTTGATCAGTCCGGCAACCAGGAGGCCTGGTCGACGACCGGGCCGCGGGGACGCTAAGCCCCGGAAGCACCTCAAGGTAACCTCAAGGCTTGAGAGGACGGGCGGCGACCAAACCTTATCATCATACGACACTTATATTCTTAAATACTCAATCTTCATTCAGTATCTTTAGATTGTTTTGAAATATTTAATATATATATATATATATATATATATATATCGTTATCCATATCTTCCTTGGAAATTGTCATTGGGAAATTAGAGTGCGTGGGTTATCTTCTACTGCACAATACATAGATAACAACCTGATGGATGTGCTCCAAACTTGTTCTATCATTTCCTGCCTCAAATATATTACTGCCTGTGCCAATTTCTGTGATTTAAAGTGATCGCAATTTAGCTCTTAAGAGTGATTTGTTTATATTTACATGTTTATGGTGTAGGGCCAAGGATGGGGGGGGGGGGGAGGTCCATCTTGCCACTCATCTGTTGTGCTACACCTACCCCTACACAAGTGGTGACCCGTCCCCTACACAAGTGGTGACCCTTCCCCTACACAAGTGGTGACTCCCACCCCCCTACAAAAAGAAGTGATCCAGCTACAAAAAAGTGGTGATCCTCCTTCCCTCATAGATTCTGAATCCCCCTTTCCCCTCGAAGGAGTATTGATTCATTCCCCCCTCCCCCCCCCTTCCCATAGGTGTGATGTCTCCCTCTACCCACAATCGTGCCCTTCCCTTCGCGTGTACAATCATGTACAATGAAGTACATTATTGTACAAGGTGCCGGGCATCATGGTCAGTGCGTGCCTCCGTGTCCCCCCACACAAGGTGTAGGCAAGGAAGAGAGGGGTGGGCAGACTGCATATTTTTGGATTTCCAGAAAGCCTTTGACACAGTACTACATAGGAGACTGGTGCACAAGCTGGAGATACAGGCAGGAGTGAAAGGGAAGGTACTCCATTGAATAAAGGAGTACCTAAGTGACAGAAGACAGCGAGTCACTGTGAGGGGCGAGGTCTCAGATTGGCAAGGTGTCACCAGAGGAGTCCCACAGGATCAGTCCTTGGACATGCACAAGATAGAGCCCAGTAAGCTCAGGAACCTGTACACCAGTTGATTGACAGTTGAGAGGCGAGACTAAAGAGCCAGAGCTCAACCCCGGTAAGCACAACTAGGTGAGGACACATGCAAGCAAAGATATGTTGATATTTCTCTAATATTATAATTATTACTTAATTTCTCATTGTCAGGGACAGGAAGCCTGTAGTTTTATATTTTGTTAATTTATCATGCCTGCATTTTGGCTTATGAGAGCCCCACTTGGTCACTTACTGACCTTTCCCAGCAAGCAACCCACAACACTTATGTAACTACCAGGTACCTGTTTTACTAATAAGTGAACAGAGGCATCAGCTGAAAGAAAACATGCCCAACCATTTCTGTCCTGCCCAGAGATTCAACCCAAGTCCCTCGGGTGAGAGGCAAGACCATGGATCCCCGTGCACACCCGTAGTCTACCCAAATGAAGCATGTATACTCAGATTTTTTCACTCCTCATATCCTCCACTAGAAGCGCTGTTGGGCAATAAACACCACAGTATAGTAATATCATAATACCATGATATAATAACAATTATATGCACTTCCACACTTCCGTGGAAATAAACATTCCATTTAAATAAACATAATTATCACATTCCATTCACCTTGGCTCTAGGAGGCTTGAACTGTGGACCCCCGCGTGTGTGAGGCTGAAGCAGTCTTTAGAGCATCTGCCTCACACACGTGGGGTCCACGTTTTGAGGCTCCTCGAGCCCAGGTGAATGAAATGTGTATTTCCATGAAAGTGTGCAAGATAATGTGTATGATGTGGGCATGGATGAGTAATTCCTCTGAGCTTCAGTAGTAGTCAGGGGAAAGTCGAAAATTCCAGTTAGGCAGCAGGATGCTGCTCTTGGGAACTTTCCTCATTAACGCTACTCAGTAGCTCGGTTGATAGAATTTCGGCCTCACACACTTGGGGTTCACAGTTTGAGTCTCCTAGAGCGCAGGTGAATGGAACCATGAAATAATATTATGAGCACTGTTAGTAACCAGAAATCACAATGGCATGATATATCATTATGCAAAAAAATATTGGAATAATCCGCCAATTCGAAGCAGGGTTCTGAGCGTGTGGTTGGGGAGACCCAGAACATCGGTTCGAATCCCCGGAATACTCCAATGAGTTTCACATAATAATTATTATTATAATTACTAACAGCAATAATTTCCTTGCAGATTCAGTCTTCAAAGATTCTTCCATTAGAGTTAAACGCAAATAAGCGTAAGGAAGTTTGAAACAAGGAAAAGTTCAAAGACGAGAAGGTAGGAAGAGTTTTGAACAAAGTTAAGACCAGCAACAGCAGACAGAGGACTGCACGACCAGCCGTGTTCAGCAGACTACAACATGTCTAGTGGAGTCATGGATATCGAGGGCAATGGAGAATTTGAGTTTTCTGATAAATCCATAAGAATGGGTTTCATCAGGTGAGCTGCCTTGTCCCTACACTAGTGACAAACACCTAGTTCCTAAACTAGAAACATACAGTGATGCTTAGTTCCTACACTAGTGACGTACAGTTATGCCTAGTACATACTTGAGTGACATTCAGCCTTGATTGTAGTTCACTTTGTGTTGATCACACTTCATTATTCATTAATCCATATGTCACCTATGATACCTATGCCTAGGGATCTATAACCCAAAATTACCTACGAGACACACGTCTCGTAGGTAATTTTGTAGGTAAACGTAGGTAAATGAAACGTAGGTTTACTCGTAGGTAAACGACACAATTACCTACTCAACATAAATCAGCAATTTGAACAATAATGAACTCCAATCCCAGACAGCACATTGCACCCTAATATAAATCTTTGAATATGTTAAATATCAGGTCACTGCACTCCTAAGTGTGCTTTCTCTATAAAACTCAAAACTACAGTACTAATCCTGACCTCAAACACTTCCTAAAGGGATGTTACAGAACCCATGGGCACCACATGACAAAGAAATAATCTATTTGATATTCCTAGAGTGAGACTTGACCTAAGCACAAATGTCTTTCAAATAAAGGTCTTATAATGTGGAATGATCTTCCAAACAATATTAATAGCTGTACAGTACCTCTTTCAACCAATTTAAAAAAGAAATTTTGAAATACCAAATCAATATCATGTAACAAAATTGTTAACTTTCTTCAACCCAATTAAATTTGTTACTATTTTGTATATATTAAGTAGCATATCTATTGACCGTCACAAAACTACAGTCTACATTACCAAAGACTGCCTTTCAGCAATAAGATCATATTCCTACTTCAGAAAGGTGTATGCCCTACTCACTGCCCAGCTCCTCATCACCTTCGGCATCGTGGCTATCTTTGTCTGGGTGCCACAGGTAAATACCTTTGCTTACGAAAACACCTCTCTGTTTTGGTCTGCCTTTGGTCTGACTATTGCCATGGTAATACTTCTGTCCTGCTGTGGCAACATGAGGAGAAAGACACCTTACAACTACCTGGCTCTGTTCACCTTCACCATCTGCGAAGGATACCTACTGGGTTGTTGCAGCGCCACCTTCGAAGCCTGGGAGGTAGCAGCAGCCATTGGTGTCACTATCGTCATCACCGTGGCTCTCACCATATTTGCCTTCCAGGTATGTCATCCTTTATTTTGGGTCCTCCCTTTGACATCAATTTATAATTGAAGTTTATGAGATCATGTTTCCTAATGATCTCAGCCACTAATGCTAAGCTATAAAGTCATATTATTCCCCAGTACTACCATGATATTTCCCCAACATCAATACCTAATGTGAGGCTGTTCGATCACACTTCCTTCAATTACCAGTAACCACCATCGATATTGGTACAGTATTTCAAATAATCACGTGTCAAATAGGGTTAAAGACTCATTCAAAACAAAACTCCACAAACATACTACCATAGTTTTGCAATTAATCTTCTCTTTTTTTTTCTTTTGAGTAGACCAAGTGGGACTTCACCATGATGGGTGGCCTCCTCTACGTCTTCCTCATTAGTCTCCTCATGTTCGGCATATTCGCATTGATCTTCCAATCTCAGGTGCTGAACATCATGTATGCCTCACTTGGTGCACTCCTCTTCTCGGCCTACCTGGTCTTCGACACCCAGCTTATCCTGGGAGGCAAGCACAAGTTGGCACTCTCGCCAGAGGAGTATGTCTTCGCCGCTCTCAACCTCTACCTTGACGTTATCAACCTCTTTTTGTATATCCTAGCCATCTTTGGAGGAGGCAGGAACTAGAGCTCGTTATCACCATCTTTTCCTCAACATCAGTGGATATCACATCTAGTTTAGAACCACAAAAGCCAACTTCGATTTATGCAAACACAAACCATACTAATTTATATTTTAACACTGATATTTATAGAAGCCTTAGTCATATGAAACCTTAAGAGCTACAGGCATTGCTAGTGATTTTTCAGTCTAAATGTATTTTAAAGCCAGCTCGGTTTCAAAATGTATTTTGTTTAGCAAATTTGTACTTTAAAACGAGTCATAAACTGCAAAGCAAAAGCTTCAGTTTAATCCAATAAATTATATATTATTGCAATAATTACAGCATGTTCCTTAATGGTAAAAATTTAAGTTTTCAAGCCATTATTAGCAAAAAATAAGCACCTTAAGTGAACCAACAGGCTTCATGTTAATACGTGTACAGTACTAGTCATTGTCTTTGGTAAATGTGACTAGCCAAGGAGGCCATTTGACTTGTTATGATTTGATAGTTTTCTTACTACAGTATCAAAGACTGTATCTCGATCTCTTGTCATGGTACATCTCATGATATAACATATTAATAAATAATCTTAAGAAACCACTAACTCTTCTTTCTTCCCCTTCCCCTCCTAATAAGGCCAGGCCTCAAGTACAACATTAGGCCACAGTGCTGGACAATCCAGTCACAACTGCCAATACAAACCTCATAAAGCACATGTGACCTCGCACCTACTTTGAAGTTATTCTTAACTCAAATTAAGTAATTATCAAGTACTAGTGCCAAGCTGGAAATACTTTGTAGCACTGAGCACTGTGTCTCATTAGATAATCAAAACATGCTAAATGTCATTCAAGATGCTAATACGAAAACAGAAGGACATAAGATTGCCATATCAAAGGAATCGGTGTCACCAAGGATTCTACCGAGGGACTAACGACCCCTAGATACATAAGAAAAGCACGACATATAATCTTCGTGAAGATCAGGGCATTATACAAGATATACAACTGTGAGATGATGCAGTTTGTACGAAAGGAAGTAGGACGTTGTTCCATTCGGTAACCATGAGTTAAGCAGGTGTGATCGATATGCAACCCAGCCAAAGGCTTTTCCCATCACCTACTACAGTGGTAGGAGGAAGGCCAAGGGGTAAAGGTCATTTTTAAAAGCACACAGTTTATTACCTGTAACATCAGCCCAATGAACTTGCCAATGGTCAACAACTGCAGAATGAAAGACTGGGTAGAAATCCAAATAAGGAGTTCCTTTTCATCAAATGTAAGCATGCATGGTCTCCTTAGCAGAACTGTCCACAAGTTCATTTGAGGTAACTATAATAATTCAACTGTCCTGTATCTGCCAGAGATAAGAAACAGTATTGGATTTCAACCACAACAGGATGCAAAAGGTTAGAAGACTCCAGAGAGTCAACCACAATGACAAAGGAACACTGATGCATAGAAAGCAGCTGATGAAGAGCACACAAAATTGCATAAAGTTCTACTGAGAAGATGCAAGTCTCTGGGGGAAGATGGGCGGCACATGTAGGTTTGATCGGGGAAAACAATAGAGTAGACGACAACAACACTGGCAGACACTATGGGGTGAAGTTCAAGACTTCAAGGTCTTGCAAAATTTGACAAGTGGGACCAATAACATGAGAAGAGATGTTACCAATGTGATCTGAATGAGACTTGAAAATGACCCATCCTTAACACATATTTAAAAAAAAATCCAGTGTTTAATGTAGTGAAACGCCTCTTTCTTGGCAAGCTCTGGTGGTTCCCTGAAGCTAACCATGTCAAGATGGTTCCCATCTACTAGGTCACATCAGCTGTGGAGTTCTGTCCCCCCCCCCCTCCTCCCTGAGCAGTGCAGAGAGCAGGTGACACTCTGCCACCCAACTGGGAAAGCATCCATAAACCCAGGAAATTTACTGCTTGATTAAAGAAGATTGAAGCCTCAAACCCATCCAATCTCTTCCCCCCCCACCGCTCTCAACAATGTAAACAAACGATCAAACCTCTCAGAACTAGCACGAGCCCATTAGTACTATCCCAACCTTTCAGATGGAAATTTCCGGTCATTTCTAGTCCCCTTACACCAGTTTTAAAGCAGATGTGCAGATGACACTCATTAAGAGATGACCTGAAAGGGAGGGGGAATATTAGGGAGCCACCAGGACTTCATCAGAAACATCAGAAAGAGGCACTTCATAACATTTAATGGTGATTTTCTGGGGGGAACCCCTTGTGGCTCTTGTGGCTCTTGTGACCGAGAGTAACAGCTGGACTGGGGAAAAAAAAAAAGAGGTACAGGACCCTCTTTTCTGACAGAGTGCTGTGGCTGCCTGCATCATCACACTACAAACATCATAAGCAGCATTGTGTTCACTGATACTGTAAGAGCATGAGATTGGAAGCCATCCAAATTCTATTAGGGAATGCACCTAAGGATCACATCACGAACACTGTGCGAGGAGCATGTGCTAAGCTTTCAAGCTTCAGAATCGTTTTTAAATACACAGATGGTGAAATATTAAAGACACTGTTAATGACTTTTGCGAGGCCAAAATTGAAACATGCAGCGGTTTCATGGTGCCCATATCTCAAGAAGTGCATCAATAAACTGGAAAAAGTGCAAAGATATACTGTGAAATGGCTTCCAGAACTGAAAAACAAACTATGAGAAGAGACTAGTAACGATGAAAGAAAAGTTAGAAGCTAGAAGATGGAAGCTAAAAGATGGAAGAAAAAAAAAAGGCAAAATAACCACTGCATAGACAATAATAACAGGAATAAACAAAATTTACAAGGAGGAATTCTTGAAAGCTACAAATTCAAGGACAAGGTAATAGATTCAAGCTAAGGAAACAAAGGTGCCCCAAAAAATTAATGAAAGTTCTCTTTTGCAGAATGGTGGATGGTTGGAGGAGGTTACATTAGGTGGTGGTAGATGCCAAAACCCTCAGTAGTTTTAAAGTGTCATATGGCAAAGATTACTAGAGCCAAACACAACTTCTGCAGCTGATGTGACTTTTAATATGGAGCAATCTCAGCAAAATCTCTTCAGGGAGACACCAGGGAGCTCCTTCCAGAAAGTCCAATAAGGAAGCTGGCAACAAGGAGAGCAAATGGGGCCTGAACCCAAATGTTCCCACAGAGCCACTATTTAGCCCTCCAGAAATGGGAAGATCTAGACAGAAAACTAGGCCTAGTTGGATGGCAGGGTACCCAGGGCAACACATTTTTACTGTGTGTGTGTGTAGAATTTTCAGTATGTATCATTCAGGAAAGATTTGAACCCAATTCTATTTGCAGTTTCAGATTAAGCATCTTCAGCATGCCCTGAAATCTGTCATGAACAATGTCTGGGGCAAAGCAGACCTGGACATGAACAACCCCAATTTCCAGGCCAGAGCAGGAACATTCAAGGTTGCACTGAACATAGAAAAAAATTCTTTCCAGTTCAAAACATGTTCTATAAGAGAAATGTAATTTCTCCGCCATTAATAAGATGTTACTTGCTAGCCAGAAAAAGAAGGTAACCTGATACAGCAGCTAGAATGCAGCAGATAATATGATGAGTCTGAAGTGAGTAGGCAGGTGAGACTGGGTGAACCTGCCAGGTTCACCCAGTCATTGTCATTTCACCCAGTCACCCAGTCAATCACGCCAGACATTGTGAAGGATCACAATGTCTGAACTCTCCCTGGGCAATACAAACCGAACCCAAGTGGCCAGGAGGGAGCATCACTGTTAAACTGGAAAGGGGGTAAAGAGTCTCCCCACCCTGAGAAAAGTCATCTGGCAATGGTCACTAAAACCCAGGAAGAGTCAAAGGGAAACCACAATATATCCTAAGATGACACCACCTCAATTGAGGAAGATAGGCCAACTCAGGGATCTGGTCTCAAACCAAACTCCCAACCAAAGTCAAAAGCAAATGACAGGAACTTCTCCTACAGAACTCTCGATCCGTCCAGGTAATGCTAACCAGACCCCTTCAGCTAAGGCCAAGGCAGACAATGCCAAGATTGCCATACTACTTGTGAGGGAGGAAATGTATATTTTTACCTCTCAGAATGTTTGGTAATGTGTTTATTTGTGATGTGTGTCTATGTATATATTAACACGTTGTACTGAATGAGGTGAGAATAGCTTGAGCTACCTCATCCCTTTGTGTGTATTTTACCTCAATAAACTTATTTCAATTTCAATTTCAATTTCAGTACGGAATCCTGTAATGCTTGTGCACCTCGGGGTTAAGCACCTCCACGAGATACTCGCCAGTATTGTGTATGGAATAATAATACATTTACTAAAGTCCTTAGTCACTGGAGGCTGGTAAGGTAAGGCAATAATCAGGAGAAAACACCAAGCCAATATGACTATACTGTACAAGCTTGGAAGATGTAATGTTAAAAAAATTATTCCCTAGTTGGAAAATGCACTTCAAATAAACCAGTGAGGGTGTTTTAGATAACTAAAAACATTAAGTTTAACACGTACTCCACATTCTTTTAAATGAAAAAAAGAACAAAAATTTATCCTTTGAAAATAAAAAGTGTTTCTACCAAAAATATATACAGTACATAATAATGTCAGTATTCAAGAGGGGTGTGACTACTATAGATGTCTGAAGGAGACTACCAGTTTAAAATATAAGCGGGTCAATGAAGGATTACTTTTTGTCTCATATATACTGTATTTAAATTTGATAACCCTGCCAAAAATTCAGAGACATCACTAGTAATGTTGTTAGAAAGCAGTATAGGTATGTTGCTTTATGTCTTTATTTAGATACCTAATCAAAACATACAACAGTTATCTTGCTATACATAAAGTCCCCAAAGTAAAAGAGAGGCTTGACTTTCCTCACCATCAAGCTGCTCATAGCCTTTGTCTTGCACCTCATCATGTCCACCAGTTGTCAAGGATGGTAGTTCACAAGCTTGTAGTTTTTAATGGTGTCCTACAAGGTGAAACACCATTAAAATCGGAGGAATTGGTGTGGCCCAAGAGATGTATCCTGGAACCCGAGACAATCCAACACTGCGACGATATCAACTTGGTACACCCAGACATCACTGACCCCCCAATTACTACGAGAAGTACCCAATCAACGTGGCAGGGAGCATAGAAATGCGAAGTCAAACCCAGAAGGCGTAGAATCCAAGGAAAACTCTGGAAAAACTAGAGAAGATTCAACAAAAGACAACACCAGCATTGGAAACGAAGTAAAACACCACTTCAAAGACAGATGATGAGCTAAGCTAACAACACCAGCAGGACCACCTCAAGCCCCACCACCAAGCCCCCAACTGCCCACATCAGAACACATAATCGCCCCTCACAACTACATTCGACTAGTTCATTGATCCTAACCCAAAGTAGATAGGCCACAGAACTTTTAATCCTCGTTCTCCATCCCTTATTTCCAGAATTTCAATTCCCTATCCTTCTTTCTATCTTATCCTTTACCAAGTCCTTTCATCATGAAAACAGAAACCACTATTAAAGCAGCCACCTGATCACCATTGAGCTGGTGATACATATGCATCAAAACACCAGTCGCGAAGAGCGGAGAAGGTCGAACCA